TTTGATTGGAAATGTTTTTGTTGGATGAGAATGACTTGCTCAGGTAGTTATTGAATTGGTTGGTTTTTGCTTTTTATCCTTTTGTTTTGAGGGATAGTTGTTTTGGTTTCAGAGCTTATGAGTGTTCGATGAAATGCCTAAATCACTCGAGAATTTTTGGTTGAAAGATTTCATTGGGGGCCGATGAGCGAATTTCTTCCCCATTTTTTGGCATTGATAAAAGATTATGCAGTTATAACCGTAATTATTTGGGCTTGCAAAGCAGAATGACAAATGATTGTTTGTAAACTTTTCTATAGTGAATGGTTAGTTAGGTCTTCTTTTGCTTGTGTTTATTCGGTGCTGGCATTTTCATGAATTCTTAAATATTGGTAAGATATAAATATGGTTTTTCTCAACAAATATGTTCAATTATGGAACTGCCTCATTTAGTTGTTAAGATAAGAAAACATTTAAACTGTACTCTCTTTCTCCAACAGATATTTCACAACCCTTCTTCTACCGTTAATTCTCTTTTCACTACTCAATCAGAACTCTTTATCTTCCTCTTGAGGGTAAATAACAAGAAATTCTATTCTATAAGATTCTTTTACTGTTGGATCAACACAACACACCCACATGTGATGTGTTGTGATCTAACAGTGAAAATTACCCGGTGAGGGCTGCCCTGACTGTACAATGGAATTTACCATAAATAACTACGACATGTTTTTTTACTTTTGGCAAATTATTATGCAAATGTAGTTGCAGATATCCTCAATGAGGAAATTACGTAATCATTGCCATGTCAATTGACCACAACGATCAAGTGCCAATTGGCCTTGGTTTCAGAGTTCCACATTATCACAAAAAATATTAAATAAAAAATAAATGAAAAATAGAAATAAAAAATAAATAAATAAAAATGAAACATGGGTGTCAAAAATATATCCTAATAATACCATAACCAAACAATATACTGTCCATATATAATTCCCCTCAGACAACCTTTTTCTCACCCACCAAAACTCCAGGCAAACCACTCACTCATGTAAAGTGAGTTTAGAGTATGTGTGTTTGTGTGTGTTTGAAAATTAGCACCAAAATCTTCTGCTCATCCTCCTTTCTTCATCTTTTCTCCACTTATCCATATCATGTAAAAATCACTCTAACAAATTTCACCAGCATTACAAAAACACATCCAAAGGCAAACAAACAAGGAATCAGATTCTTGAAAAACCTGTAATGGAAGATGAAGTATCTTCTGGAGGCCTACACATTGTATGCCAGTATAGTAACAACGTCGCCACATTCGGTTACTGGCTAAACCGAAACCCTTTGAATTACACCGTTCCCCTTCTACTTCTGCAGCTTTCGGTAATCAGTCTCGTTTCGATGCTCATCGAGATCTGTCTTCACCCTCTCGGACAATCTTCCATCGTCTCACAAATTCTCGTAAGAAAAAATACCCTTAAATAAAATGTCATCTTTCGTTCGATCGTTCTTCCTCTCTTTTTACCTTTCATTTTTTTTACACGTGTTACTATATTTTTCTCCATTCCGTGTAGAGCGGCATACTATTCGGGCCATCGGCACTCAGACACAAGAGCGTCATGGGCCCGATTCTTTTTCCGGCCCGTAGCATCTTAACCCTCGAGACCGCCGCAGTCTTCGGAATCATGTTCTTCCTCTTCGCCATCGGCATCCGAATGGACACCCGCATGTTGGTCCGACCCGCCCGGCCCGCCGTCATCCTCGGATTCTTCGCCATGTTCGTCTCCGCCCTTTTCACCGTCCCTTTCTCCCTCCTCTTAAAAACCTACGTCCGCATGGACGCCAGCCTGGCGGCCGCCCTTCCGGCCATCGCCGCCGGCCAGAGCATGACCGCCTTCCCGAACGTGTCGTGCCTCCTGATCGAGCTACGCATGGCGAGCACTGACCTCGGCCAGATCGCCAGCTCGACTGCCGTTCTGTGCGATATTATCGGAATCATGATGCTCGTGGTCAACGTCTCGATCCTCCATTCGAACTACGACCCGCGGAGATCCGTGCTCTCGATGTCGTCGGCCTTCTTATTTATACTGGCTATGGCATTAGTCGTGCGCCCGTTTATCCACCGGGTCATGAAACGGATACCGCCGGGGAAGCCTCTAGGGGACACGCACGTGTTCTTCTGCTTCGCGGGCGTCCTCGCAGCCGGGTTCGCGACGGAGTTGATCGGGCAGCATTTTATATTGGGTCCGGTGATGTTGGGGTTCGTGGTGCCCGACGGGCCTCCGTTAGGCGGGCCCATGATCTCGAAGCTAGACCTCATGATCGGGAAGTTCCTGTACCCGACGTTCCTGACGACGAGCGGGCTCAAGACCGACATGTTCACGATCAACGAGCGCTCCTTCTGGATCATGCTCGTCATGATAGTGTTCGCCTGCATGGCGAAGATCGGGTCCATCGTGCTCGGGGCTCGGTTCCTCCTCGGGATGTACAGCGGGGACGCGTTCGTGGTGGGGCTCATGCTGAACGCGCGCGGGGTCATCGAGCTCATCATGTACAACATGTTGAGGGACGGCGGAGTTTTAACCGATCAGGAGTTCGCGCTGAGCGTACTCTCGGTGATCGGGGTCATGGCCGTCATCACCCCGCTCATCAAGCTCCTGTACGACCCGTCGAGACGGGAATGCGGGACCCACGGGTGGATGCGCCGGACCATCCAGCACACGAAGCACGGGATGGAGCTTCGGATTCTGGCGTGCATAAAGGAGCAAGAGAGCGTGCCGTCGCTGGTCGCCCTCCTGGGGGCATCTAACGCAACCAAATACAATCCGGTGGCCATTATCGCGTTAGTCCTCGAGGAGCTCGTGGGCCGGGCCACGCCGATGCTCGTGGCCCACCAGCCGATCAGGCCCGACGACGGGGCTGGGTCGGGCCGCGTGGTGAACGCCCTCCGCCAGCTGGAGGTTAGCAGGCAGGGGTATTTGACAGTGCAGACGTTCGTGGCCGTGTCTCATTTGGATATGGCCCACGACGATATATGCCGGGTGGCGAGGGAGCAGGAGGCGGCGCTCGTCGTCTTACCGTTTCACAAGCGGTGGGAAATCGACGGGTCGGTGGGGACGGTGAACAAGGCAGTGCAGAGCATGAACGTGCGGGTTGTGGGCGGGGCTCCGTGCTCGGTGGCGATTTTGGTTGACCGAGGGGCGGTGGTGCCAGCGGGGCGGGTTTACCGGGTGGCGGTGGTGTACATTGGCGGGGCGGACGATGCGGAGGCGCTGTGGTACGGGGCGAGGATGGGGGCGCATGATGNGAGCACGGGGCGTACTCGCACGCGCTGAGGGGGTTTGGGATGTGGAGCGAGTGCCTGGAGTTGGGGGTGGTGGGGGATTTGTTGTCGTCGGAGGATTGGGGAGGGACGGCGTCGGTGCTGGTGGTGCAGCAGCAGAGGATGATGTGGGAGGGGAGGAGGAGGATGGCGAGAAGAGCGGTGGTGAGGCCGGAATGGGCGGGCCAGGAAGATTGGAGTCCTGTTAGTCGTGTGTAGATTAAATTAAAATGGATAAAAGGGTGGGTGTTTGTATAATTGGTAGAGTAGGAATATTTTGTGAGAAAAAATTAGTTTTGTATTGATTTTAGGGTTGGGTTTTTTTAGTGGAAGATTTAGAATAAAATTTTAAAGTCATTTTAGAATGGATGGGGAATTAATTTTAAAGTTCAAATTTGTGGGAATTTGAGTTTATGTAACTCAAAGATTGTTGAATTCGAAAAAGTTCGAAATTCGAAATGTTTGATTTGTTGTCAAATGGTTTAAACAAGTTGAGAGAAATGATTTCTGTCATGTATTCTCCGATAACTTGAATCAAGTCTATACGTGTTCTCATTGTAATTGCTGAATCAAGTCTATACGTGTTCTCATTGTAATTGCTGACATTGAGATTCATCAAACATATATGAAAACCACATTATTAAGTGAAGGCTTTGAGAAGAAATTTATTTAAAACAAACCGAAGAATTCGTTGCACTGCAAAAAGAACGAAAAGTGTGTCGTGTGACGATACAAAAAGTTTGACATAGTTATCGAGTTTTTTACGGTTAATTTTTTTAACCGTTGAAATCAACAGTAAAAACTTGTAGTCGTGTGTAAGCCTACCCTACCCACGAACCTCATAGGAATACATTCCGAAATTCACAACAATATGCATTTTGACTTTTACTCAAATTCGAATCTGAAAGACCAATATTCTTGCAGCGCATAATTCCAACATTCAGGGATTTCTTCCCCAAATCTCAGAGAAACCCACAAATAAAAAACGCACAATCCACCATGTCCGCAGAGGATCCTCTGAGAATAGGCATAATTGGTTTTGGCCCATTCGCTCAATTCTTAGTAAAAACCATGATCAAGCAAGGGCACATCATAAACGCTACTTCGAGGTCCGATTATACAGATCATTGTGCTCAGTTGGGCATCTCATTTTTCAGGTACACCAAGCATTTTATATATGGTAAAAGTCACAAATTTCTAGTCACTGATTATGCACTGCGTCCTGAATAAATTAGCGGAATTCGAACAACTAATGTTCGTTTAGCGTTTGCGAACAGTTCGTTTATTAGTCAAGCCGAGCATATTCACGAACGCACAAATTGTGTTCACAAACCGCTTGTTATTGATTTTCAGTTTGTTAAATGAGCACGAACTTTGAACACAAAGTGCTTAGCTCGAATAAAACCGTTTATTTATAATGAACCATATGTGATAAGCTAAATGTAAGTGCTTCTGCGTGAAACAGGGACACGAATATGCTTCTTCAATCAGACCACGATGTAATTCTGCTGTGCACATCGATATTGTCTTTGTCGAAAGTGATGAAATCTCTGCCGTTGAATTCTTTGAAGCAGCCTACACTTTTTGTCGATGTGCTCTCCGTGAAGGAGTATCCGAGAGAAGTTATGCTGCAAGTATATGAATGAACTACAAATTCGTATCTTTTTCTTGCCTACCTAGGTTTTATGATTTATCCTTGAAAACATTTGAAAGAGTGTTTTTACAAAAGTTCTTTTTTTTTTTTTTTTCATTTTTATCAATTTCGAAAAGGTATTGCCGCGTGATTCAGATGTGTTATGCACGCACCCAATGTTCGGGCCAGAAAGTGGGAAAGACGGGTGGAAAGATCTCAGTTTCATGTATGATAAAGTTCGGATAACAAACGAATCTACGTGCTCTAGATTCCTAAACATTTTCGCAACTGAGGTAGGACAAATAAATATTCATGGTTTTTGTTATAATCTTGAGGTGTTAATTCATATGGTGAAGGCGTGAAGCTATTGTTTTTCGTATAAAGGGTTGCAAAATGCTGGAGATGACTTGTGAACAGCACGATAGATTTGCCTCGAGAAGCCAATTCCTCACTCACACAATCGGGAGGTTACTTATTGACTTCACATCAATTGTTTGTTCAGATTCATAATAGTTGAATAACATAAGTTAAACTAATATTAATACCGTTCTTCCATGCATACAGAATCTTGGCTGAGATGGAAATCGAGCCAACACCTATAGACACTAAGGGTTTCCAGAAGCTCATTCAAGTGGTAATGATTGATTGGTGTTAAATTATCTCATTCTACTCATGGATTGTATGTATATTAGGGTTGATTACGAAAACTGTCCGAGGTTTCTTATATAATTAATTTTTTCGTAACTATTTACATGTGCAGAAGGAAAGCACATCCCGAGACAGTTTTGATCTCTTTAGTGGCTTGTTTATTCATAACAGGTTCGCGAAAGAACAGGTAATGAACAGCTCTAGTTAATGAATTTGATCGTCTCAACCCAATAATCATCAGATGATTAGAACATCCTTAAAAACTGATAAGTGTACATTTTCAAGGTCATAAACTTGTAGAGATTTCTTACTTAAAATCCCGTAAATCCAATTTGTTCAATATTACACAGCTTATGAACCTGGAACTTGCACTTGGGATGATTAAGCAACAGCTGGTCAAACGGATGAATGAGGAGCTCTGCACCGAGCCAAAATAAATTTGTGGCCAAAAGTTACTGGTTTGAGTTCAGCATATGAAAATAAATTTGCGGCCAAAAAATTACTGGTTTGAGTTCAGCATATGAATATGTGCTCATTATCTGTGGCTCTTGGTTTCTTTGCAATAACATCTGTGCAATTGTTTATGAAACAGGTATATGGACCTGGAATAATGCCATTATGTTGTTTGTAACATTAAATTAGTATCCTAAAAATTAGTGAAGATTCATGTTGTTGGGAAAGTCTTTCAAAGTCTTGTTATTATTTTTGTGTAATATGTCTTGATCAACACTATGTTGTGTAAATGATCACACTATTGTGATAAAAATAAATAAGTTTTTCCTTCCAAATATTTTTTGAAAATTTTTTAGGTATAAATTGACTGTAGAACAACAAATTGTTCTGTTTGATAAAAATCTGCTTAATTCCAATTTCCAAGCTTGAAAAATCACATGAGTTATAATAGGATGGGCAAAATAAATTGAACATTTGCAAAAGCTAGTTTTTTGATAGTTGTTTGTCAATTGAGAACCTCAGAAAAAAACAACTACAGAACATTATAAAGTTAACTGATCAAAACAAAGCGCAATGGAGATTATACAACATCATAGGTCAACTACTGTTAGCATATTTGGGATGATTTCATCTGAAAGCACAATCAAAATAGAAAAACAACAAATCTCAGAAAAGGTTATATCAAATTCATCACAGCATCATACAAAGATTCAAACTTTACCACTAAAACCACGTTGAATTACACAACATTAACCCCAAATCCACAAACACGCTACAAATTCATTTCAGCTTAAAGTTCACCAAAATAGAAACAACTAAAATAAACCTAATAATACGTAATTAAGAACAAAAGCAGAGCTCAGCCACCAAACCCGTAGAGAGTACGGCCCTGCCTCTTGAGAGCATAGACCACATCCATGGCGGTCACAGTCTTCCTCCTAGCGTGCTCGGTGTACGTCACAGCATCTCTGATGACGTTCTCAAGGAATATCTTGAGGACCCCCCTCGTCTCCTCGTAGATCAGCCCGCTGATCCTCTTGACTCCGCCTCTCCTTGCCAGGCGACGGATCGCCGGCTTCGTGATGCCCTGGATGTTGTCCCGGAGAACCTTGCGGTGCCTCTTTGCTCCGCCCTTGCCCAGCCCCTTGCCTCCCTTGCCACGGCCAGACATTTTCAGTAGCAGAGATTTGTGGTTGAAATTTGGAGAAGTTTTGTATTGATTAAGATCTGCGAGTGTGTAAAAATGGTTAGATTTTTAGGGTTAATATAGAAATTGAAATCTGAATTTTTGGTGTTAATTTGAATTTGGGGCGGAAAATTTTGGCGGATTTTAGGTTTTGGGTTTTGGGGGTGATTTTAGGCTGGATTCTAGATCCGTGTGATTCACTTGAACTGATTTCTGACCGTAGATTGTTTGGTTATCGACGGTGGGGAAATGGGTTGTGTGAAAGGCGGATCGGTGACGTGGACATCACTTGTATGGCGAATTCGTGTTTAAACACTTTAACATGGTCAAAGAATCACGTTTTCATTGGAGAAAAGACGGATTTATGAAAATTGAAAATGAACATGTAAATTTTATAATATGAAGATTTTATTCTTCACTTTCAATTGTGTAAGATTCAATTTCTTCCAATTATATCTTTATATATAGTTGGTTTTTATACATTTGGGTATCGTGAAAAATTCAACTTAGTTTAGATTTAAATAGTCATACATATAGTGATTTGTTGTTGTTGAAGTTATTAACAAGTCTAATCGAATTCGAGTTTAAATTTGGACCCCGAGTTGAAACGATAAACAAGTAATGAACCATATTGTACTAAAATTCATAAAATTACATTAAAAAAAATAAAAAACTATTTTCCAAGCTTTGTATAAATTGTGAACGGCTCTCTTCATTTAAAAGCTCAAATAGTTGTCAATCAATATGTAGACTATTTTGACATTATTTCATTGTCAAGATTTGAGGTTATGTTTTATTATCATCTTCTTAATCCTAGTTTACAGCGAGGGAGAAAAGATTATCCACTCGGTATCTTTTGGATATCATCTTCCTAAAAAACATATAATTATATCTGGATAACAACTAGAATTAGCTAAGTAACTACCTGACTGAATCCAATGAGATAACAACTCATAGGGCATCCTAAACACCACAATACACCCACGAGAATAAAAAACCCAAGCATCAACATAGTTCCCAAAAGAGAGAATCACACGGTTCCAAAAGGGAGAATGGACACACAAAAATCACAAAACAAACAACACAAATACAATAAACCCACAACACCAAAAACAACAAAAAAACACAAGAATAAAACAATACTAAAATAAACAAGCCCTCCCAAAAGCCGGCCACTGCCCAACATAACACCGCACACGACGAGAACCGACGACGACACCTCCAACTCTCCAAGATAGACCAAAGCTCGGGATGCAACCTATCATCTCCCTTCACCCAAAGACGTCTGGCTAACATAGATCCACCCAAAACGAGCCGAGGACCAACTCGGAGCCGCATCAGGGAGGCCCACACTAACCCCCACGCCCACACAACTTCGGCTAGAGCTCTCAAAAACGGCCGAAAGGCTCCAGCCGGACGGAAAGCCCAGTCTCTAACCCCAGGAGATGTGGCAAAATAAGGAGCGAAGCTGGCGTATGCCTCAAATGTAGTCGAGGTTTATACACATTCAACCTCTACATTTGTTTTTACAACTATACATATTGATATTGTTATATTTGGGTCATATTGCTCAAAATATTCATCCAAAACAAATAATTTACCATCTTCTTTTTTAAGTACGTGTTTAGTAAGCATCATAAGCTATCTTGTAGCTTATTTGTTTGGTTTATAAACTTTATGTATTCATATAAGTTTGTTTATTATGGCGAGTTTTTTTAAAAAGAACGAGTTTATCTCATAAGCTTCGTTTGGTGGTTTTTTAAATAAGCTCATTGAAATTTTTACTTCAGCTGACTTATCAACTAATTTTACTAAATATTTTTATCATATCAGTTAGCTTTTCAGTTATAAGATCAAAAATCACTAATAAGTTATCAACTATCAACTTGCTTATAAACTAGTTTTACCATACATAGCCACGAGTTGTTAAATGTTCAAGCCACAACTATTTCAATCACACTATGGTATGAGTTATTACAAACATTGAAACTTAACACACATTTTCACTTCACTAGAAAACCTAGCTATGGCTTATTCTTTTCTTCTTCATTAGAATTACAGACTTATTAACCAAAAGACAATAACCACATTAAATGATTAAACCTCTCTCTAACTAAGCCAAGTAAGATTAACAACTTCCCTAAACTCCAGCCTTTTAGTCTCGGTGTAGAAAGTCCGACGCTTGTTAGGCCAATACGTCAACCAAATCCAACCATTGATCTCCCACTCCATAACCCCTCCATCCCCACCCCCCATGCAACCCCTATCCACCTTCCAACTCACGCTCTCCCCGTACTCGTCTCGCGCGAAGATCACACCTCCTTGCCTCGTGAACGGCCTGTGGGCACTCGAGTACCGATTTTTGAACCACGCCCCCGGGTGAAGTAGAGCCAATTTAGAAGGCTTGGACGAGAAGACCTCTCTGCCGTTCACGCTGTCATGCAGGAACCAGTTCAGATTCGCAGTGTTCCCGTGCACCGACTGCTCAAACTTCCATGGCTTGAGGCTTGTGGTGAGGGTCTCGCCGGCCGAGAAGTGGAGGCCAATGCCGGTGGGTGGCTCGAAAGAGGCCTCAAGACCCGTCTCGAGTCCGATCTCAGTCGGATTGTTCTCTGACGACTTGCTTACGGACACACTAATGATGTCTGACTGCATGGTGCGTGGGGTTATCTGGAGAGAGATTCTCGAGGGGAAGTGCTTCTCGGACGCGCCGGCCCCTCGTTCGTTCATGAGCGTGTTGGTTACGAGCTTGACGACATCACATCTAAACAAAGACATATGACAATTTGAATTTTTTATATTTGATTTTATATATTTTTTTTTTTTTCTTTGGGTAAATTTCAAAATTGTGGCTTTGGATATATTGCCATTTTTATCTACAAAATTGGACTATTTTATTGACCCGTATTACTATTAAAATTTGCACAAATTCATAACTTGTGGGATCAAGAAGACAACATAAACTGAAACTCATAGAACACGTTGAATTTCAGAAATCAGAAGTAATGATTTTCCCACGTACAAGAAAACAACACAACCAAAATACACCAAAAATAATTGGTATATATACGTAATCAAAAAGTCCCATTAAAAAAAATAATAAAATAAAATAAATATCTTTTCTTTAAACATCTAAAAAAATAAAATAAAAATCAATGTCAAAAAAACCAAAATATTAAATGATCCAATTCCAAATTTTATTACCTTATGTTATCCGTGTTCACCATGACCTCAACCAAATTCTCCCTAACATCCACCCTATAATTCAACTGGATCACCCCTTCCACCTGATGATGATTCAGCGAGAATCCCAAACCCTCGTCCGCCGATAATATCTCCCCGCCGCTCGACTTCTCCAAGTCCATCGCTATGACGGGGCAGTACAGCTGGACCTTCCACAGCCCGAACTTCGATAATGAGTACGAAAACAAACGACTCGGCGTGCCAAGGCCCGCGCCCGAGGCCCGTAACTCACGAATCCAGTTCGTGATAGCAAGGTTCACTGACCTCATCCAAATCTCCTCGGTATTTGACCCGAGTACCCTCATGAGCTCCTTCGAGAACTCCCGAGCCTCGTGGCACGCAAACTGATCTCCGAGCGCTTTAAGCCACGAGGCTCGGATATTTTTCGGGGCTTCGTAAATGCACACGACGAACGTGAGGGTTAGGAACGTGAAGTTGAACACGTTCGTCGTGAGGTTTTCGTTTGGGAGTTTGAATGATGATGGATTATTATTATTATATATATAAGAAGGGTTTTTGCATGAGGACGAGTATTTTAGGACATCGTGTACGAGGTTAGTTAGGAGAGTGTAGTTGTTGGATTTGAAGGGGATTTTCTTGGATGTCCAAAGGGAGATGGGGAGATTAATGTTGTAATCTACATAGATTGAGAGGGAAAAATAATTTTTTTTGGAGGAGTTGATTGAGAGCTTGAGGGATGGTAATTGAGATTGGGTTGAATTTGATGATGATGAAGGGCATAGGTTGATGGAAGTGTTGGTTATTTTTGGCCATGGTTGGTTTTGTATCCATGAAAAGATATTTGGGAATGATGATGAACAAAAGGCCATTGATTGATTAATTAATAATGGAGAGACTAATTAATTTGAGTTGATTCTAGATCTCTCAAAATTGGGTTCTTTGGTTTTGAGTGAGATTAATGTGTTGTGAAGGAATTTCTATACATTTAAAGATGTGGAAAAGATTGGCTTGGAGGGGTCAAAAGGATAAAGCCAAGTGAAAAACTGTGAAAAAGGAATATGTTGTTTGGAGGAATAATTAAAAGTTGTTATGAATGTGAATTGAGAGATTTGTAGCAAAATGTATGCTTGTGCATGCATCAATACTAACCGTGTGGGTTTGTAATTTCTGATGTGTTAACATATCCATTACCATCTATCAATCACCCATGAGAATCCTATTATTACTATTACTATTATTATTATTATTATTATTATTATTATTATTATTATTATTATTATTATTATTATTATTATATGTAAATTGTAGTTTGTCTCACTATATATATTTGCACTCTGTATATTGAATATTATGTGTTGTTTCAATAGCACTAGAGAATTAATATTAGTATGTACATGAATACCATTATCTTACATGTGTATAGTAACCTAAAGTGTGAATAGTGAAGCAAATTGCAAAAACAGTATAATGATATATGATGGTGTAAATAATAATTTACTGCAAGAAAATGATGAAATTCCATCGGAAATATATTCCAATAGAATTCCAACGACAATTCCAATGAATATTTCAGTGTTATTATTTTCATTGGAATTATTCCAACGAAAATTCCTACAAAAATATTCTGTTGGAATGAGTTTTCCATTGAAATTTTCGTTGAATTTTGACGATTCCAACGGTAGATTTTTCAACGGTGGTGGAAATAAAAATTCCAACGGAAATTGCATATTCCAACGAAAATTCTTACGGTGAAAAGTCGTTAGAAATATAGCCGTTGGAATCATCAAATTCCATATAAAATTCTAATGAAAAAAATACATTCCAACAGAATATTTACATTGAAATTTCTGTTGGAATCATCCAACGGAAGCTATACCATTGGAATATCTCTTGGAATTTCTATTGAAATATATTATCATAGGATTTTCCATTTGAATATAACAATATTTTTGTAGTGTAATAACAAGGTGTATCAGCTAATTTTTTATATTTGGCCTCATGGCTTTGATTAAAAAATTTGTAACTTGATTCAATTCATGAATTATACGTCCAAGTGAAATGGTTGCATTGCTTGTTTGTCAGATATTAGGATGCGTACAGAATTTTTTGTTATTATAATAATAATAATAATAATAATAATAATAATAATAATAATAGTAATAAACAAACTGACACTGGTCTTTCTTTATTTAGCTAACAGTTTGCGTGCATGTGTTGCATAGTAAGCATGCTTCTTGAAGCTAAAAATCTTCACAAATTTCAATATATTTTGGTTGTTAGGTAGAAACTGTTGAATCATTGCACATTTTAATTTCTTGGTATTTATATAGACTAGTGGTCTTATTAAATTCAAAAATTATACAAGTAATTAAAATAAAGAAATGGACATATATGTACGCAGTACGCACACATATCTACAATTCAAGAGCTCACAACCATTGAAATTTTTAATCAGACAAGTTTTCAAAACAGAGTAGGATTAATTAGGTCCCAAAACAAATTTTCATGTGGAGATAGCCAAACTAATTATGTCATGATACCTACTAGTACTTATTAATTATACCGTGTCATTAATGTTAGACTAATTATTCATTAGATTCACAAATTACAAAAATGTTTACAAGATTACTTAGTAGCTTATATTTAAAGAAAATTGGGAGGTTAAATTATACTCCTTCCTATTTTTATTATTTGTCGTTTTGAGAAGCAACATACGCTAATTAAAAATTTTTTTTCTTGTCAATATTAATCCTATTTAATGGATGTTATGGGAAACAATAAAGATGGATATGAAGAGACACTGTGTATTGTTGAATCCTTAATCCAACATTGGGCTAATATGTGAAATAATTATTGTATTGTGGTTGTCAAATAAAGAAGCCAAATAAAAGTGATCTATTAAGTTTTAAAGTTATTGGACTTTAAAGTATCAATAGGGTGTGAGCCTTTAATGTGTAGAAACTAATGGGTCTTCTTTATTTCTTCTTTATTTTAATGATGGGCTAAAATAGAGATGTTCAATGTAACCTAATGTACATAAAGGGTTGTGGTCCCTAGGTCATACGCATCGACATCAAAAGATTACTCTTCTGCATCCCATCGATAGAGAGGTTAGAGAGAAAGCAAAAGGGTTATCTGACAAGTACACGATCGTATATACCTAGAAGGCCAAATTCCCAAATCAATCATCTATGGATTCAGTTACGCTTCCGCTATTCAGTTTCGATTCTCAATTACTGGATTAAAGTGATAGTTTTCGCCTAAAGTTAATTTCAACAAGTATTAGATAGAGGGTTAAAAATGAAAAAATATGAACAAAATAGCCAAAAAGACATTTATTTAATCAATGATCAATTAAGCCAGATTGACAAATAATAAAAATAAGAGGGAGTATATGATTTTTCCTGAATTGGGAGGAGATAAAATAAATCGAGGGTAATTACGAAGTATTAATTAAATCAACGACTTCTGAGCCGAAGCTGTTATATAATTACGAAGTAATAATTAAACTAATGCCTCTCAGAATAAATCTGTTCATTTCAGGAATTCAATTGACTGCCAAATATTTAAAGGCACAAGAAATGAATGTACTATGAAATATTTTTAAATGTTAGTTGTGAAAATGTATTTATTGTGAGCTGTTAATTCAAAATATATTTATGTGAAATGTTAATTGTTACGAGTCATCCCTCTTTTCATTTTTAATAAAATATATATATTTTTACTACTACGAAATATTCATGTTTTCACGTGTTGTTTTGAAATTTGAATATTAATTTGAGTCGATCATTACAGCTTTAGGTTAAAATGTTGTTAATTTCCTTTTTTATTTTCCTTCCACGAGTCACTTTTTCGTTGGAATATAAGATTATTTTTTTCTTTCTTTCTTTTTTTTTTTTTTTNTCCAAACCTGACTCATATAAAAAAGTTTATAATAAATCAAAGTAGCATCTGCATAGTTAATAAATTATCTTAAAAAAATTTACTCCAATTATTCTTTTGAAGGACTAAATGAAACTAATTAACTCTTATGTAGTAGAATGAAAAACTCTATATAAAAGCAAATGAATAAGCCATTTAGAGATTCTTACAAGTTACAATGCATTATATAAGACTCGAATCTAGCCTACCGGGAAAGAACTTTGAATGTAAGTAGCCCAAAAGTCATAACATATATTCTCAAAATTATTCTCTAATTATTCTACCTAACCATCAACACAAAAAGGTTTAGAATGCATGCATGTATAGGTTACATTAATAGTTTATTTCTCTAATCCACGAGTCCAAGGTGGAGAATCATACTCTCAATTATTATGGACATTAAAGAATCATACTGTCACACTCTCGGGGGATATTTTACAATTATACTGTTGAAAATAATTATGTTTGAAGAATTATACAACGTTTGTATTGTTAAATCATAAAAAAATTTAGTACATTAGGCCGTCTCCAAGGGTACTGTGCAGTATACACCATGCTATTTTAGCACAGTGTTGCAGTATAATTCTACTTTAGTTAATTTTTAGTAATATATTACACGTAAATATGACAAAGTATAGTCCAATAATATCATTTATGGTGAATAGGCCACTCATACATTTATAACAAAAATGTATATGATATAAGATGTCATACTTTTTGTTTATATTGATTCTTTAGATTTTAATTTGAAAATATGAACATCTGATAGAAAAATATGATTGTCTAACCATGAAGTCTTCATACCAACCAACTTTATATATCCAATCTAAGCTGAAGAACTGTTAGAAATGATTGAAGCACTAAATGTAGCATAATATATTTCACCCCAACAATTGCAGACGTATAGAATAATGCAGAGAGTAAAAATGTGAAATCCTGGCTACTTATGCTCATGGAAACATATGAAGGGTTAAGCATCAAAACAAAGCAGTTCCTGCATATTCTTAGCTGCACAAAAATTCTCCTTTTTGCTATCATATAACAAGAGCAGAAAAGAAGCTTCTTTTCCCGAGTTTGGTGCTTTCTTTCACTTGCCACCCAGACTCCGATTCGTAGCATTCAATCTGAAGTTATGAAAGAAAGAAAAAAGAAAAAAGCAATGATCAGCAAAAAGAAGTTTGCAAGTTTTGCACGGATAGACTTGCAAATAGATTCAGATCGTGGGATTTAGGCAATGTTTGGTAAAACATAAGCTAACTGAGAGCTTATAAGTAATTTTCGAGCTTATAAAGCTTATAGTTTATGACTTATAGATGAAAAACTAGCTTATATGATAAAAGTGTTTGGTAAAATTAGCTGATAAGCTAGTTGAAATAAAAATTTCAACGGGTTTATTTGAAAAAGTACCCAAAGAAGTTTATCAGATAAACTTGAGTTTTTCAAAAAAACTCGTCCTACCAAACAAAGCTTACTTGAATACAAGGGGCTTATAAGTTAACCAAATAAGCTATAACCTAGCTTATTTGGTAACACAAACTTAATCGATTTTGTGCATTTAGTATCGTGTTTCTTATCGTGCGTATCAATGCAACTCATAAAGATAAATTATTACCTAAGAAGAAGAAACTATCTCTACTTACCACATCCAAAACTTCAGTATCTTTCATCCCACCAATAACATAAATCTTTTCCCCGAAGACAAACGAGCCGAAATTTACCCTGGAGGATTTCATGGGCTCTTCCATCATCCACGAACCAACACGTGGCTCAAAAACCTCGACTGTGGGCACAACTTTATCTCCATCATAACCACCCATAGCATATCTGCAATGAACAAAGTGTATCAAGTATTTGTATCAAAAAGGGGGGGAAATTCGAAAAACGCAGTCTCATGAGGGTTCTCAAGTGGAAATTTTTTATTTGACTTACAACTCTCCATTAAACGCGACCAAAGAATGGCATCCTCTCTTCGAGTTCATACTTGCCACTCTGGACCAAGCATGTTGTCTTGGATCGAACCT